CACACACACACACACACACACACACACACACACACACACACACACACACACACACACACACACACACACACGCGCGCGCGCGCGCGCAAACACACATACACACACCTATATATATATATAATATTATATATATTTTAGCAATATGTTCCCGCAATAATCCAGCTACGAAGAACTCTTCATTTATTTATAAGACGGTGGTATCGTATACTCTATCGCAAAAACTCCACGTCGGAAGATCGGTATTAACTTCCATCTCTCTCGTTGTCGTTGCCAGGGCCTGACTACTGGGGTCTCATCGTGCGACCAGACTGGGCGATGTGTGAGCAGGGTAGGAGGCAGTCTCCCATCAACATCGACCCTGCGAAGCTGCTCTACGATCCGCATCTTCGACCGCTGCACATAGACAAACACGCAGTACGTACGATGCGCTAGTGCATGTCCGAGTATACTTAGTATCATCTGACACGTGTCGTGCACGTGATGGCGATCAGCGTTTCAATAAAATATAATGCTAAATAAATACGAAATCTATCTACTACCAAAGTCTTAGTGTTTCTCTACTCTCTTTCGCCTATTATTGCCGACAATTTCCTGTAAATTCCGTGCAAATGATCCTCTGCAACACACATGTGCACCGCACGCACGCTGCCGCACACTGACACATAAATATAGAGTTTGTTATTACGATTAAACTCTATATTTATGTGTCAGTGTGCGGCAGTGTGCGGCAGCGTGCGGCAGCGTGCGGAAGCTTGCGTGCGGTGCACATGTGTGTTGCAGAGGAGCATTTGCACGGAATTTACAGGAAATTGTCGGCAATAATAGGCGAAATAGAGTAGAGAAACATTAAGATTTTGGTAGTAAATACATTTCGTGTTTAATTACCATCATTTTACCAGGAGTGAATAGTAGAGATCAATCACTCCTGATTTAATTCATCTAAATCTATATCTTAATCACTCTTAATAATTCTTCATTAATCTCTATTATTTACTCCTGATTTTACTATTGAAACGTTCCACGTGCCTGTGGCCGCGCCCTGCCTGTCGGACGGTTTTAGATTATTACGCCACTAAGACGTACCGCACCCTCGCGATCCCTGATTGCTGGCAAAGTGCGTCGCAATCTCCTTGCCGTGTTCACAACTTGTTCGCACGCATAGAACTGCTGGTTCAGCGACGGCTTAGCTTAGTTTAGTTCAGTGGTTCTTAACCTTTTTTGAGTCGTGAATTGTGAATGTCATGAATTCTAAACCCTAACCCTTTGAGAATCTGATGAAAATCTACGGACCCCTCCCCAAAAAATGCACATAAAGTCATTACAGACTAAGGATGACTTAATAATGTGCAGTTACGGACCTTCTGAAGCCCATCCACGGACCCAAACGGAGTCCATGGACCACAGGTTAAGAACCACTGGTTTAGTTTATGTTTATTCAGCTGCACCGTTACTTGCATGAACAACGCAAGTACAGATTAGGTGTCAATACAAAGGGAGGATGTTCTCGTGTGTTTACGAGGCTTCTTCCTTGTAAAGATTTATAATTGAGAACTTTATACTAACGTGCTTGACGAGGTATACCATCCACGCGATGAAGCCACCTTAACCACTTGCGTATTACACGCGGTGACGTATAGTAGTGGCAACGTAACTCTCCTTATGACGAGCTGGTTTGAATTACTCGCTCACGGTATCCGATGGTGGATCGGTACCTAAATACAGAACTGATCATATACCTACACTGTAAATGTATGCAACCGTATATATATATATATATATATATATATATATATATATATATATATACCGTATATAATGTATATATCCGTGCCTGGAATATTCGCATCTCAGCACGCACGCACAAAACATTGTTCATATGTTCACATGTGTTTACGAGGCGTCTTCCCTGTAAAATTATATAATTGAGAACTTTACTAACGTCGCACATAACAGAACTGTCTATTTTGATTTCGTTTAGGGACACGGCTTTCTGACAAATAACGGACATAACATGATCTTCAGGGTCGGCAACACCAGCCACCCGCACATCAACATCAGCGGTGGTCCGCTATCATATAAATACAGAGTTCAGGAGCTGCGCGTTCACTTTGGTATGAAGGACACGCATGGGTCGGAACACACCGTTAACGGAAAAGCATTTCCTCTAGAGGTGAGAAAGTAAAATAGTAGTAATTAATATATATAACTACTTTAATTATTACTAAAACATAATTATTACATTATACATTAATTAATACATTACTACTAATGTAATGTATGCATGTAAATGTAATTAATACATTATTACTTATGCTTAATTATTACATAACATAGTAATTAATATATTAATACTTTTTTAGTAGATAAAAATAGATAGATAGAAAAATCGATAAAAACAGATAGTATTTAAACCTTATATACGAAACCGTCTGTGCGTATTTTCCTCCATGATATTACAATCTTGTTGCATGCCTGGAGGTATTTTTACAAGAAAAAATGCGTTTTTATATCGTTTGAAGCAATAATAAATCTAGTGAAATAAACAAGACTTCCATTTGATTCAAAGGTGGGCGTGGCCTAATTGTGACGTGGCGGTAAAGAAATCGTGTCTAATTGGCAGCGTAGGAGTATTAACGATCGTCTCGCGAATAATATATTATAATATATTAATGCGTCATCTCGACCCACGCCACCCCAGACGCCACGCGAGCAGCGGCCGAGCTGGTTTTCCCAGACCAATTATTTATAAGCGTCGAGCCGCTGCAGCTAGACGTCGTGCAACATTAGAAATCTATTCTTCCCTCGCGATGTTACATGGGTTTGACGCGGAGAATGAAGACTCCGCTTTATTTCGTGGCGCGTCGTTATGACGTGAAACGCTAATTGGACGATTCCGTCCCTTAGATCTCCGTCTCCTCCTTCTTTTCCTTTCTCCCGCCTCTCTCTCTCTCTCTCTCTCTCTCCCCCTCTCTCTCTCTCTATTTTCCCCTTCTCTCTCCCTCTCTCTCTCTCTCCCTATCTCTCTTTCTTCCCCCTCTTTCTCTCCCTCTGTCTCTGTCTCTCTCTCTCTCTCTCT